GGAAAATGACTCCATCTCTCAGCCTTATCTCACCTTCCAGCAAAGAGTTGAAATTCACAAGCTTTGCCAAGGTGAGAACTTAATCCTGGGCTTCAGCACTGGAGGTGGAATTGACCAGGACCCCTCCCAGAATCCCTTCTCAGAAGCTAAGATGGACAAGGGCATTTATGTCACCCAGGTGTCTGAGGGAGGGCCTGCTGAAATTGCTGGGCTGCAGATCGGAGACAAGATCAGGCAGGTGAATGGTGGGATACAACCATGATCACCCAGGCCAGGAAGCGGCTCAGGTGGTGAGTCTGCTGGTGATGTGGCAATTGCTGCAGAAGGCCAAGCAGCAGTCCATGCTGTGGTAGCCCCCGCAGCAGCCCGCAACACTCCTCCCACATCTCTGCCCCTCAGAAGGGCAGAGCTGTCCCAAAGACCTTTCTTGGAGGCTGATCCAACCTCTCTTTCTTTCTTTCACTCCTCCTGGCTCTGAGACCAGCTCCCTCCCTTGGACACTGAGGACTGGAAACAAAGGCCTGGAGCTGAGCTGTAGCCAGGCCTTGCTGCCTGGCCTCTGCAGGGCCCAGGGACGTGGGGAGACACCCTTCCCGAGAGCTGCCAAAATGCCAGGAAAGAACAGGTAGGGCCAGGCCTCTCCCGACCCTCTGCCCTGGTTATAGGCTCTGTCCTGCCCTTGGATCTGAGCTCCAGTGCCCTTCCTGTGCTTTTCCCCACGTTGCCCAGTGTGGAAATTGCTACCCTCTACCAGAGGCACTGCGGAGGGCCACCCCCTCCAGCCCCTCTCCCCTGAGGACGCTGGCCTCCCCAGGGTTCACCTACTTTACAGGATCTAGATGAAGTTCAAGGCTAACATTTCAGGGTGGCTCTCAGGATTGCCAATTTCCTCTCTGCCTGAGAATGTAACGTTTGTATTTTTTTAAATCACAACTTTGATACAAAGTGTTTTTAGTTCACTATTTGGAGATGCTGACTCTACTTTTGAATTCAGCTAAGTCACATCTGGGGCAATGACCCCCCCAGCAAGTTCATAAGCCTTACTGTAGTGATTGTGGAAACGGACCGTGTGACGCAGCCCATGCCTGCTAATAAACAACTCCGGGACTCAAAAAACAAAAAAAGAGAGGTACTCAGTGAAATCCGGAAATCATCAGACAACATCGTTGCTAGCCTAAGTAAGCAAAATGTTGCTAAGGATAATTCAAAAACAGCTGCAACCATACATTGGCAGGGAACTTCCAGAGGTTCAAGCCAGATTCAAAAGAGGTACAAGGGACATCACTGCTGACATCAGATGGATCTTGGCAGAAAGCAGAATACCAAAAAGATATTTATCTATGCTTTATTGACTACACAAAAACTTTCGACTGTGTGGGTCATGACAAGTTATGGACAACATTGCAAAGTATGAGTATTCCAGAACACTTAATTGTGCTCATGAGGAACCTGTACATAGACCAAGAGAAAGTTTGAACAGAACAAGGAAATAATGAATGGTTTAAAATTAGGAAAAGTGTGTGCCAGGGTTGTATTCTTTTACCATACTTATTCAATCTGTATGCTGAGCAGATAATCCAAGAAGCTGGATTATATGAAAGAAAACATGGCATCAGGATTGGAGGAAGACTCATTTTAACAACCTGAGGTATGCAGATGATACAACCTTGCTTGTTGAGAGCAAAGAGGATTTACAATACTTACTGATGAAGATCAAAGATCACAGACTTCGGTATGGGTTGCATCTCAATGTAAAGAAAACAAAAGTCCTCACCACTGGACCAATAAATAATATCACATAAGTGGATAAAATATTGAAGTTGTCAAAAGCCTCATTTTGCTTGGATCAACCATCAACGCGCATTGAAACAGCTGTCAAGAAATCAGATGACGTATTGCATTAGGCAAATTTGCTGCACAAGTCCTCTTTAAAGTGTTGAAGAGCTAAGATGTCAGTTTGAGGACTAACATTCGCCTGACCTAAGCCGTGGTATTTTCAATAACCTCATATGCATGCAAAAGCTGGACAGTGAATAAGGAAGACAGTAGCCAAACTTATACATTTAAGCTATTGTGTTGGAGAAGAGTATCAAAACACAAAGGACTTCCAAAAGAACAAACCAAGGTGTGTTGGAAGAAGTACAGCCAGAATGCTCCCTGGAAGCCAGGATGGCCAGCAGACTTCATCTCTCCTACTTTGGACATATTGTAAGGAGGGACCAGTTCCTGGAGAAGGATATCATGTTTGGTAAAATGGAGGGTCAGAGAAAAAGAGGAAGACCCCCAATGAGGTGAATTGACCAGGTGGCAGTAGCAATGGGCTCAAATGTAGCAGTGATTGTGAGGTTGGCCCAGGACCTGGCAGTGTTTTGTTGTTTGGCATATGGTCGCTATGAGGCGGTACCAATTCAATGGCACCTAACAACAACATCCTGCACCTTCAGTATATGACACTTGGAGTTAGAGACCACTTCAGGAACAGATGTGATGCATTGAACACTAATGACTGAGGACCAGAGGCGTGGGATGACATCAAGAACATCGTCCATGGAGAAAGCAAAAGGTCACTGGAAAGGGATGAAAGACAGATCAAAGTGGATGTCAGAGCAGAATCTGAAACTTGCTTTTGATCATAGAGTAGCTAGAGTGAATGGAAGAAATTATGAAGTAAAAGGAACATAAATTTCAAGCACAGCGTGAGGAGGCAAAATATTATAATGAACTATGCAAAGACCTGGATTTAGAAAATCCAAAGGGAGGAGCATGCTCAGCATTTCTCAAGCTTAAAGAACTGAAGAAAAATTCAACTTTGGGTTGCAATATTGAAGGATTCTGTGGGCAAAATGTTGCATGATGCTGAAAGCATCAAAAGAAGATGGAGACAGAATCTCCAGTGAGTAGTATCCAATCTGTCTGGGCGGGGCTGATGGAAGGAGATGGGGATAGCACTCATGTGGTACAATAGTGAATAATTACTATCAGGACTGACTGTGGTTGTTGGAAATGTAAAGGTAGATGTTTTGTAGCAAAAGGAGGGAGTGGTTAACTTTACAGTCTAGGAATGGTGGTCTCTGGGACCATCACGGGAGAAGAGCAGAGTGTGGGACCCTACCCATAGAAACAGAGATGCCAGAGATGGAGGCAGAGACGATGACATGGAGAGATGGAGCAGCTGGGGACTCTAGACCCAGAAAGGGAGAGAGGCTGTGTGCTGACACTGAGGGGCAGGCTTGCAGGGTATCCCCTTTGGTTGTTTGATGATGTGTGGAGGGGATTGTAACCATGGCGATGAAACGATATATGATAGGATGAATGTAAAGCCACTGTTCTCCCATGTAACTATCACATAATTCACAATAAAACATTAAAAAAAAAAAAAAGATGGAAGGAACAGTCACTGTACCAAAAAACACAAGAAACCACAATTGGTCAACATTCCGCCCTTTCAGAAGGTAGCATAAGATCAGAAAGCAGCGTCACTGAAGGAAGAAGTCCAAGCTAAACTGAATTAGCAAAATAACAAGGGTCCAGAAATTGACGGAATGCTCAGTGAAATAGTTTAAGAAACGGATGCATCACTGGCAGCATTCAGTAATCTATGCCAAGAAATTTCGAAGACCTGACCACCTAACTAGAAAAGATCCATATTTGTGCCCATTCCAAACAATGGTGGTATAACAGAATACAGAGATGATTGAACAATACCGTCAGTATCACACGTAAGTAAAATTTTGCTGAAGATAATTCCAAAACAGTTGCAACTGTATAGCAACAGGGAGCAGCCAGAAATTCAAGCTAGGTTCAGAAGAGAACATGGAACCAGGGATATATAGCATTGATACATATCATTAGATTTTGGCTAAAAGTAGAAAATAGAAAAATGTTTACTTGACTATGCAAAGGCATTAGACTCTATGGATAATAACTATGGAAAACATTGCAAAGATAAAATTGTGCTCATGTGAAACAGATAACTAGACCACGAAGAATTTGTTAGAACAGAACAAAGGGATACTGCCTGATTTTAAATCAGGAAAGTGTGCCAGCGTTGTATCTTTTCACCATACTATTCAATCTGTAAGCTGAGCAATCAATCCAAGAAATTGGACTATATGAAAAAGACAGTATTGGAGGAAAGCTTATTGAAAACCTGTGATATGCAGATGATACAGCCTTGCTTGTTGAAAACAAGAGGACTTAAAGCACTTGCTGATGAAGACCAAAGAATACAGTCTTCAGTATGGATTACAACTGAATGTAAAGAAAATTAAAATTCTCATGACTGGATCAATAAACAACATCCTGATAAACAGAGAAAAGTTTGAAGTTGTCAAAGATTTCCTTTTACTTGAACCCACAATCAATGCTCATGGAAGCAGCAGTCAGGAAATCAAATGACATAATGCAATGAGCAAGTCTGCTGCCGAAGACCTTTTTGAAGAGCTAAGAGCAAAGATATCAGATCTTGGTGCACCTGACCCAGCCATGGTATTTTCAGTTACCTCATATGCATGTAAAAGCTGGACAATGAATAAGGAAGACTAGAGAAAAATTGATGCATGTGAATTGTGGTGTTGATGAAGAATTCTGAAAGTGCTATGGATTTCTAGAAGAACAAAGAACTCTGTTTTAGAAGGAGCTCTGGTAGCATAGTAGTTATGAGTCGGGCTGATAACCTCAAGGTCAGCAGTTCAAAACTACCAGCAGCTCTGTGGGAGAAAGATGAGGTTTTCTGCTCCCAAAAAGATTCACAGCCTCAGAAACCCTACGCAGGGTCGTGATGGGTTGGAACCGACTCCACGGCACATCACCACCACCATGGCCGAAATGCTCCTTAGAAGTGAGGATGATGAGACTTTGTTTCACATACTTTGACTTGTTATTGGGGACTAGTTCCTAGAAAAGGATATCATGTTTGGTAAAATAGGGATCATCAAAAAAAGAAAAACTCCAAACGAGATGAATTGACACTGGCTTCAACAATGAGCTCAAACATTACAATGACTGAGATGGTGGAGGACCGGCGAATGTTCCGCTCTACTGTGCGTGGGGTTGCTAGCAGTTGGAACTGACTTGATGGCACCTAACAACAGTGTTAGTGTTAGGGGTAAGGGTTGGGCTAAGGTTAGAAGTAAGGCCTGGTCTCATTTTAGTGGACAGTTAGGTATATTTTTACTTTACTATTATTTTTTAACTGCTGTGAATTGAGTGAAGGTTTACAGAGTTGGTGTTGTTTTTAGGTGCCATTGAGTTGGGTCCAACTCCTAGCAACCTCATTCACAACAGAACCAACCACTGCCCAGTCCTGCGCCAGCCTCAAAACTGTTAACTTGAGCCCACTGCTGCTGCCACCTAGACAATGCAGCTCGTTGGAGGTCTTCCACTTTCTCACTGACCCTCCACTTGACCTAGCACGATGTCCTTCTCCAGGGACTGACCCCTACTGATAGCCTTAGGTACGACAGACGAAATCTCGCCATCCTGACTTCTAAAGAGCATTCTAGTCAAATTCTTCCAACACAGACTTGTTTGTCCTTCTAGCATGTCCATGGTACTTTTAATGCTCTTCTTCAACACCACAACTCTCAAATGCAGCGATTCTTTTACAGTCTTCAGTATTCATTGTCCAACGTTCACATGCATATACACCTATTGAAAATACTCTGTCTTGATCAGGCCCACCTTAGTCCTCAAACTGACATATTTGTTCTTGAACAACTTAAAGAGGTCTTGTGCAGATGTACCTAACGCAGTATCGTATTTGATTTCTTGATAGCTGTTTCCATGAGTATTGATACTGAATCCAAGAAAACTTAAATCTTTGACAACTGAATTTTTTCAGTTGAATTTTTTTTCTCCATTTATAATGATATGATTTACTGGTCCAGTGGTAAGAATTTTTTTTTGTTTTGTTTACATTGAGATGCAACCCATACTGAAGGCTGTGTTCTTTGATCATCATCATTAACTATTTTAAATTCTCTTCACTTTTAACAAGCAAGGTTGTATCATCTGCATATCACATGTTGTTAATGAATCTTCCTCCAATCCTGATGCCACGTTCTTCTTCAAATAATCCAGTTTCCCAGATTTTCTCAGCATGCAAATTAAGTAAGTATGGAAAAAATATCCAACCCTGGTGTAAACCTTACCTGATTTTAAACCATTCATTGTGCCCCCCGTCCTGTTTGAACAACTGATTATTGGTTTATATACAGGTTCCTCAAGAGCACAGTTGTTCACGTGCAATAATAAGAATACTTATTCTCTGCAATGTTGTCCATAGCTTGTCATCCTGTAATGATCCACACAGTCGAAAGCCTTTGCCTAAATAATAAAGCACAGGTAAACATCTTTCTGGGATTCTCTGCTTCCTGTCAAGCCCCATCTGCTGGCAGCAATATCCCTCATTCCACGTCCTCATCTGAATCCAGTTTGAACCTCTGACAATTCTTTATCATTGTCCTACTGCAGTGGTTTTTCAATTACCTTTAGCAAAATTTTACTTGCATGTGATATTAATGATATTGTCCGATGATTTCAGCATTCTGTTGGGTCATCTCTTTTGGAATGGGCACAAACATGGATCTCTTCCAGTTGGTTGACCAGCTAGCTGTCATCCACATTTCTTGGCATAGATGAGGCAGTGCCTCCAGTGCTGAATATTTGTTGAAAGATTTCAATTTGTATCCCATCAATTCCCGGAGCTTTGTTCTTTACCAATGCCTTCAGTGCACCATGGACTTCTTCCTTCAATACCATTGGCTCTTGATCATATGCTACCTCTTGAAATGGTTGAACATCAACCATTTCCTTTTGGTACAGTGACTCTGCGTATTCCTTCCGTCTTCTTTTGATGCTTTCTGCATCATTCAACATTTTGCCCAGAGAATCTTTCAATACTGAAATAGTTGATTTTTTTTTTTTTTCCAGTTCTTTCAGCTTGAGAAATGCTGAGCATGTTCTTCCCTTTTGGTTTTCTAACTCCATGTTTTTGCACATTTCCATATACTACAACTTTGTCTTCTTTAACTGCCCTTTGAAATTTTCTGTTCAGGTCTTTTATTATCTCATTGCTTCCATTTGCCTTAGCATCTTTACACTGGAGAGCAAGTTACTGATATCCATTTTGGTCTTTTCCTTCTTTCTTGTCTTCTTAATGACCTTTTGCTCTCTTCCTGTATGAAGTTTTGATGTCATTCCATAACTTTTCTGGTCTTAGGTCATTAGTGTCTAATGCATCAAATCTGTTTCTTGAGATGATCGCTAAGTTTTACTGGTGTCCATAAATCTTCCTCTAGTTGCTGTTGTGTTTGGTGAAAATATACACAACAAAACATACACCACTTTATCACTTTCTAAATATACAATTTCTACACTGGTTACATTCTTTAAATTATCCCACCTTTCTTAACAACCTTTTCCAAACTGTATCACCATCAGTGACACAAAATCACTGCCTCCTCTAAACTTTTCATGGATCCTTTCGAATTGCTGTTGTCAACTTGACCATACGTAGACGATTCTTTCAAAGTTTGGGTACTGTTATTTTGGAGGAGGACAGAAACTGAGCAGCCATGGAAGGAGGGGGTGAGGGAAGGGCTTAGTCTCTCCATAAGTTGCCCAGGGAAGATAGCTCTGACAATGTAGATGTTACCGGCCTTGTACACAGCTGTAGGAAGAGCATCTCAAGCAAAGCAGACAGGAAGTGCAAAGGCTCTGAGTCTGGAAAGACCTTGGTCTACTTAGGGAAAATCCAGAAACCTCTTGTGTCCTGAGCAACCAGCCCAGCGCCTGGCAGATGGCAGGGGCCCCACAAGGTATATCGTGGGAGTGAACAAATGCCGCATTTGCCCTCCTTTCCTCCAGAGTCCATGTGTTTTTAGAAGGTGGGTCGCTGCACTGGCAGTTGGTGACCAAGTGGACAGGAAGAACTGAGTGGAGTCCCTTCCTGAGACAGATCTCCAGATGTTAGCAGAAAGCTGGGACCATGTGGGCCTCATTTCTCAGCTGTGCTCATGAAAGCCATCACCAGTAGGTGAAAGTGACCTTGACTACAGAGAAGCAGCGGGGAGAGAAAGGGAGAGAGCAGTAAGGTATGTAAGGTCTACAGGCCAGAGCTTGAAAGAGCTCCTGGACCCAGCAATGTCTGATGCTTGGTGCCCCTCGGAACCTACTGATTTGTGCAAATCACTTTGAACTGGGTTTGTTTGTCACTTGTAACTGAAGAAGTCTTGACAAATGTCCCCAAACAATCCCTCCTAGATGCCAAGAGGTCTGCCCAAAGCTGCCTCTATGGTCCTCACTCTGGTTGTTCTGCCCGGTGCCCACACTCGCATTCCGCCCAAGGTCCTTGGAGACTGCAGCAGCCCAGAAGGCAAAGGTTTTCTTTCCGAACTCGGAGGCCACATCTTCATCTAAGACACTCACGAGCTATATGTGCTGTTGCATGAGTGCCAGGCCTGGGCGGGTTGCTCAGGTGCCAATGATAAGACCTTCAAGCGCCCCAGAGGCCACTGAACAATAACCGCGGTTCAGACGAGCGGGGGAAACAATCTAACTTGGCCTGAGTGGGCACCGAGCATTCCCTGGTGCGTGGAGACCAGCCATGCCCAAACCAAACCATGCAGGCCTAGTGTGCAGGATAAAGAGAGGATGCCGGGGAGCCTCTGGACCTTCTAAGCTACAACAGGCTAAGATTTGTATAAGACCTGTGCGGCCCCGGGGTGACCAGTGGAACGCAATAACCGCCTGTCACACACGCCTGTGGGCACTTCCGGTTTGAGTCCCACAATCCCCCGGGCCTCGGGGAAGCCAGTCCGCACCCCGCCCCATGGGCGGAGTCTGAAGCCTCGGATTGGCCACCGTACGTTCGCTTCCTTGGTAGGCGGGGCCGTAGTCCACGAGGGGGCGCCGAGAGCCGACCGGTGGGCTCGCTTACTGCTAGTGGCATGGAGGCGGCGGTGGCCGGTACAACCGTCCCAGGAGGAGCGGACGACGATGACATCGTGCCCACAGGTCGAATCCTAGAGGTAGAGGCGGAGGCAGCGGAGCTGCTACCCTTCTTGGCGTCTGGGGCTCGGGCTGACCTGCAGGCGACAGCGGCGCAGCACATGCTGGCTCTGACCGGCTCCAGGCCGGGCCGCGCACTGCTAGCGGGGCAGGCGGCGCTGCTGCGGGCACTGGCCGAATTGGCAGCGGCTCCAGCCCCGGCTCCTGCCTGCGACGCTGCCCGCGCGCTAGTGAACCTGGCGGCTGACCCACACCTGCACGAGCCACTGTTGGCGGCCGACCCCGGACTGCCTGCCCGCCTGTTGGGCCGAGCTTTGGATCCACAGTGGCCCTGGGCGGACGAAGCGGCCGCTGCACTAGCCAACCTCAGCCGTGAACCAGCGCCATGTGCAGCTGTGATGGACGTGCTGGAGGCCGTGGAACCGGGGGAGCCCGTCCTGGAACGCCTAGTACACGCCCTGTGCACTCCCGGCTACAACGCCAGTGCGCCCCTGCATTACCTGGGGCCACTGCTCTCTAACCTCAGCCAGCGGCCGGCAGCGCGCACCTTCCTGCTGGACCCTGACAGGTGAAGTCCGAAGTGACTGACGGGCGGGGGGTTGGAAGTGAATCGCTGGGGACTGAGCAGCCCCTCTCTCCAGGTGTGTGGTTCAGCGGCTGCTACCCCTTACTCAATACCCAGACTCCTCCGTGCGCAGGGGCGGAGTGGTGGGGGCGCTTCGGAACTGCTGCTTCGAGCACCGTGAGTGGTGCTAGGGGCGTTGCTGGGGGGTGGGGGTGAGGTGGAGACTGGACACGGCAGTTGCTTTGGACGCCGCCCATCCCTGCTTTTCTCCTAGGACACCATGAGTGGTTGCTAGGTGTGGAGGTGGACATTCTCCCATTCCTGCTTCTGCCCCTGGCGGGGCCTGAGGACTTCTCCGAGGAGGAGATGGCGAGTGAGTGGTTTGGGTGGAGCCCCCTGTGGGTCTAGCGGAGGGGCCGTAGACGGGCCCTGGGTCCTACCAGGAAAGGGATCTACAGATCACTGGGAGGTGTACTTAGTCAGAACCCAGCCCATAGACCCAGTGGCTCTCACCCCTGCCTCTAGGACTACCTGTTGACCTGCAGTACCTGCCTCCAGACAAGCAGCGAGAGCCCAGTGCCGACATCCGCAAGATGCTCATCGAGACCATCATGCTGGTGAGCAGGGCCCTGCTACAATGATGTGCCCCCCCACCACATACACACACACATTCACCCTAACCTCTCAGTCATCCTGCCCCTTCCTAGCTGACAGCCACAGCGCCAGGTCGGCAGCAGGTGCGGGACCAGGGAGCCTATCTAGTCCTACGAGAGCTGCACAGCTGGGAGCCAGAGCCCACCGTCCGGGTGACCTGTGAAAAGCTCATCCAGGTGAGTGCTGCACTTTGAGGGGGTGGTGCCTGGAAGCAGCCAGGTGCTCACCGGTCTCTCTTGCTGGCAGGTGCTTATTGGGGATGAACCAGAGTGCGGCATGGAGAATCTGCTGGAGGTGCAGGTGCCAGAGGATGTGGAGCAGCAGCTGGAGCAGTGGGACCGCCAGGAGCAGGAACAGTGTGAGCAGGAAGGGTCGGTGCCTCACTGAGACCCCCCTCTGCTTCCCTACAGACCTCTCTAGATCTCTGGCCTAGACAGGTGGAACTATATTTAGGCTCCAGGTCCGAGCTGAGACTCCAGCCTTCCAGCTCTAGGGTGTGTGTCCAGTTAACATGGAGAGTACTTAAAATACCTTCCAGTCCTGTGCCCTGTGGCCACCAGCAAGAGGTATGGGGTCAGGCTAGGGTCTCTCCAGGTTAAGAATATTCTAGGGGCCTGGGTGCAGCTGGCCCCTCATTCTGTTATCAGTGCCACTCAGTTGTTTTGACAGCCAACCCCTGGTGGCCTTCTGGTGACTTTCCCACAGTTCCAGTCCCTCCTGAGGCTACTAGAGCTTGCCTGCCCATACCTGCACGGGCTCCCCACCAGCTGTCCTTGATGTGCCTGTTGGTGCAGCTTTTCTTTACGACCTCTACCTCCCTGTTAGAACTGTGACCAGAACCCTGTCCTCAGCCCCACGTTTTCACATGTCCAAGACTGATGGACTGGCTCCCTCCTCCTCCCCAGTCAGCTCGCCCAAACCTCAGCTTCTCAAGAGATTCCAGCCTGTCCGTGTTCCCAGAGTCCCTTGCTCATACTGACTGAGCCTCTGATGTCCCTGTTGCCTTGCCCCCTGTCCGAGCCCCTCCTCACTACTCTTTCCCCGTGGACTCCACTTGCCTCCCCCAGTTCTCCAGCTGCGATGCCAAGGCCTCACTGCTGCTTTCCTGAGTCAGACTTGGGTGCCACCCACATATACCCCCTAAATACTGCCGTCTCCTCACCAGTGGGACATCTGGGTACCCCATAACCTGATACCAGAATGGACCTTGTCTTTGCTGCCCAGGACTCTCCTGTCCCAATACCCCTACTGCAGGTCCGCAGTCTCAAAGCTGCCAGGGACAACTGGACTTAGGCAGTTCCCTCCCTGCCCCCTTTAAAGCTCTGACACACTGTGCTCTCTGATCTGTTTCCTCCCATGGGAAGTTCTATGGAGGTAGTAGATGGTTCCAATGATGCCCAAGGCTTTCAGCATTGAAATGTCTACACCCCAGATCCCACAGAATAAAAGCTTTATCTCCTGCTTTTCCTACCTCAAACCTCAACTGGTCGTGTAGTGCCTTGTCCCTTTGGGGGTGGCAGACACAGAGCACAGTGATAAAGGCTGCCTAGAGGTGCCCACCCACTGTGAGCCACAAAGTTCCAACTCTGCGGAGGCTGTTCCTCTTCTCAGGTGGGCCTCTGAAAGCTTGGGTACCCCAAAGACAGATGTTGGTCTGGTGGCTGGCCGCTGGGGACGCTGGAGCTGTAGGAGTGGCCCTGAGGGCCCCAAGTCCATGCCAAGCTCACGGGCTGCTGGGAACTTGGAGTCCATCGTCTTCTCTGCAAGGGGTGGCAGTAGGTCAGGTAGGACACAGAATCCAGCACACCCACCCGGTCCCCGTGGCCAAACCAGTACCTGGCGTGACGCCGCCCAAAACATTGTGGAAGAGAGTGTGTGTGGCTGGCAACATCCAAGGGTGTGTGGCCACCTGCTGCAAGTCGAGGCGGGCGTGTGGGCACAGCTGGAGCAGGCTGTGGATCAGGTCCTGGCACTCTGTGGATGAGGATCACGACTGCCCTGCCACTGCGCCCATCACCCACAGCTTCCAGAACTGCCCCGCTGGGAACACTGAGGCGCAGAGGGGTGGACAGCTGCCCCAGGCTAATGGCAGAGCTAGGGTTTGAGCCCCACGGGGCTGACAGCAGTGTGGCCCATCTCTCCCAGCTACCTTCCCTTCTCCCAGATGCTATGGCAGGAGTAGCCCACCCTCCAGACCTGAGCTTGGTCTTGGGGTACAGCACAGGAAGTGGTTTCACCTGGGGACAGGCCAGGTCGGAAGGTAGGACCACGGCGCATCCGGTGCAGCATGCGGTGGGGCTGGCGCTCCTTGAAGGGCAGCTTCCCGGTCACCATGGCGTAGAGAATGACACCTCTGGGGATACGGGCTCCTCAGGGCGCGCCCCTTCCCCCTTCCCAGGGCCTGGCTGACAGGGTGCCCCAGGGCAGCACTCACAAACTCCACAGGTCAGCCTGTTGTCCACTGTACTTCCTACTCATGAGGATCTCGGGCGCCGTGTAGGCCACTGAACCACAGAAGGTGCTCAGCAGGGCATTCTTGCATCCTGAGTGGTTGGCGAAGCCAAAATCTGGAGTTGGGGAGGGGCAGGGTGTAGGGAAAGTGGTTCAGAGACCATTTGGATCCAGAAGGATGTGGGGGGAGGGAGCGAGTGCATGGAGTGTGTGTGTGACAGCAGGAAGGTGCCTAGGGCATGGGGGGCTGGTCAAGGGGAGAGGGTGGACTGGCCAATGCAGCTGGGCTAGAGTTTAGGATGAGATGTAGGCTTCTTGGAATAGTTGATGTCCCATTCACAGCTGAATGTGGGGGCCAGGCCAAGTTGAGGTTCGGGGCCCAATCGGGCACAGAATTTGAAGGGTGGGTGTCAGGCGAGTCTGAGGGCACATGCTCACCAGTCAGCTTGAGGAGGCCTCGGTCATCCAGCAAGATGTTCTCACACTTTAGGTCCCTGCATGGGGAAGGAGGACTGGGCTTGGTAGCCTGGCCGTGTGGGCGGGCAGTGAGGTGGACAGACTGAGTGCCAATCATACCGGTGCACGATGCCTGCACTGTGGCAGTGTGCCACGGCACTGACCAGCTGCCAGAACAGCCTGCGGGCCTCCACCTCCTCCAGGCCCGGGCGGCCGCGCAGCTCCGACACTGTGTTAATGTATTCCAGCAGGTCCCCACGGGCTGCCAACTCCAGCACCAGGTAGGAGCGCTGGCTGTTCTGATAGGTCTCATACAGCTGCACCTGTTGGATCCCCATCTGCCTCCTTCATATCAGGACAGGGTCAAACCTCCACCCCAAATGGTTGTCCCAGGTGGGGAAGGCAGGCCAGGCCTGAGGTAGGAGCGGTGCAGACTGGTGCCAGGCATCTGCCTACCACGTTCAGGTGCTTGTAGGTGGCGTTGAGGGATGAGATCTCACGGGGCAGGAACTTTTGGGAGAACTCCACAGGGGCCTCGGCCATGGACACAATCTTGATAGCTACCTGCAGGAGCAGTTGGATGCTGGGTACTGGCCTACTGACCACAGCTCCTTGAGACAGATGAGCAGCAGCTGCAGACAGCCCGGTCTCCCTGCAGGGCTAGGCTTGGTGTAGGGTTAGCTGGAAGAGCAGGGTCCGCAGAGGGCAGCTCTATCTGTCCCTCCCCTGAGACACTGTGTTCTAAGGGTGGAGGATCTAAAGGTGTGGGACCTGCCAGAGCCATGGGGGGGAACAGAAGGAAAGGAGGTAAGACTGGGGGAGAAGAGGAAGGTGAAAGAGCACTGAACATGTTTGACTGGGTTTGGGAAGGCGGTCTGGGTCAGCAGCCACTGGGCCTGCGTGGGTGCTGTCCCTGCTCGGTGGGGCCCGCAGGGCCTGGAGGATCTCACCATGGCATGGCGCTTGCCCTGTAAGTCAGAGGACAGCTTGGGGTTGTGCCGCATCCGCTCCTGCGTGGCGTAGGCCAGGTAGACCTTGGAGAAGGCACCAGAGCCAATCTTCTTGGAGGACAGCAAGTAACCCTTGTCCCGGCACTCGCGTACCTGCTCCATGAAGGTTTGCTGTCCTGGCCTGCACCTGCTGCTGCCCTTCATGGGGGACAGGGGCCCGGCCCAAATCACCACAGAACCATGGGGGCAGCTGGCAGGGGCTGCTGAGGCCTCACTTGTGCTAGAGGGGCAACAGGTGGTGGGGGCAGGATGGGACCTGTGCCCTTGATTTGACAGCAGATGATTCTCTGGAGATTTCTGTGCAGTGGGAGGGGCTGACCAGGAATGAGGGTTCAGGGCAGGAGTCTGCACACACAGTGTACTGGAGTGAGAGAGAGTGTCTCTGGGAAGCTGGAGCAGGTTCTAGAACAGAGGGTTCTAGAGCTGCACCCTCATTGTGCCCTCAGAGAGATGCCCCCTGCCCTAGGACCTGCACGCTGACAACATTGTGCTGGAACCCCTGCCTTCTGTGAGATGAGCACCCACTTCAAGGGCTAGGACTCTGGTTCAGCCTCAAAGGCTGCCGCAAAAGGCTGTTCAAGACTAAAGGGAAAGTGGTAGACGAGGCGGATGCACTGAGCAAAGGTTCGGCAACCAGGACCCAGGATGGTGATCCTGGTATCCTGAACTCAGATATGTGGACTGATTGCTGACTGTAAGAGGAAGCTGAACAGGAGAGGAGATGAGGAGACAGACAGACGCACTGAGAGAAGGCTTGCAGGGATGTAACCATCCTTAGCTTTTGCGGCAGCTGGTGACAGGGTAGCCTGGAGGCACAGGACTTGTGCTGGAGGTTGGTGACTAGGGAGGTATGGTTCTCCTGGGAGTCAGGGGTGTGACCCTATGAGATAAAGCACTGGGCTGCCCAAGGTTGGTTTGAACCATAAAGTCAGTGGTTCAAACTCAGCAGCTGCTCCTTGGAAACCCTATACAGGGTCACTATGAGCCATAACAGACTTGACGGCACTTAACAACAACAACAACAACTATAGCTACATAACTTCTCAATGAAGAAGAAATCATGTAGATTTCGAGAAAAAATAAATAAAATGAAACCTAACTGGGGACTCCCGGCAAGATGGCAAACTAGGCGAACAGACTATACTGACCCTCTATGCAAAGATATAAGACACCAAGTAAACAGACAGATGGGCCTAGCCGTTGGATCATGGCTTGGAGGTGGGCTCGACCAACTTAGAGACCCACAAGCGCAGCCCAAAGCGGCTCATTACAACCCTGTCGCCCCTGCTGCGCTTCCACCTCTTGACTGACGCAACATTCGAGGATGGAAATCCCACCTTTGAGCCGGACTTAAGGGCCGTAGCGTAAGGAGATTCGTGTTTAACAGTGACCACACAACCGCCACTCGATTGTCTGTCGTGCTGTGGTGGTTTGAATTGCTGTGATTCTGAGGGCTATGCCACCAGTATTTTAAATAACCAGCAGGGTCACCCATGGTCGACAGGTTTCAGATGAGCTTCCAAACAAAGACAGACTAGGAAGATAGAGTGGCAAACTACTTCCGAATCGCTAGTCACGGAAAACTCTATGAATAGCAGAGAAACACTGTCAGATACAGGACCGGAAGATGGGAAGGCACTCAGAATGCGACTGGGGGAAAAAAAAATGCCTCCTGCAAGTAGAGAAAAGCTCACAGAACCTTCATTTGCTGATGGGCCACAAATCAAAATGAAGAGAAACAGCTATAAATATCCATTGAAAATTGAACATGGAATGTACGAAGTATAAATCTGGGAAAATTGGAAGTTGTCAAAAATCAAATGGAACGAATCAACATCGATATCTTAGGCATTAGTGAGCTGAAAC